GTGTGTGTGTGTGTGAGTGTGTGTGTGTGTGTGTGTGTGTGACTGTGTGTAGGTGTGTGTGTAGGTATGTGTGAGTGTATGTGTGTGTGTGTGACTGTGTGTAGGTGTGTGTGTGTGTGAGTGTGTGTGTGTGTAGGTGTGTGTATGTGTGTGTGTGAGTGTGTGTTGTTTGTGTGATTGACAGATGAGAGGAGTCTCGTGTTCAGTTCGGTGTGTCATGATGTGTGTGTGTGTGTGTTTGAGTGACAGCAGTGGTTGTTGCCTAAAGGCATGTTTCCTTCACACAAACACACTCTGACAGCTGACCGCTGCTACGCGCACACACACACACACACACACACACACACACCTTCCTGCCTGTGTGTGCGTGCGGACGATCGCTGACATGATGCTGCAGCTGAATTTAAACCTGAACCTGGTTCGTACTTCGGTTTCACCTTCGTCGCGTCGCTAACGTGTCGTTCTTGGGTCACGGTTGCTGTCGCCTCTTATTTAATCTAATTAGTTTGGATAAAAGTGACATCATAAAGTGTCACATGTCTTATTTACAGTCCTGATTTTTATGTCATTTAGCTTCTATCGGTCAGCTCTGGCTAGCAGCAGCTCGCAGTGCTAACATAGACCACACAGGGTTAGCTTCTCAGGGAGAGACAAGAGAGCTCCTTCACACTACTATTGTTCCAACTGAAACACTGTTAGCATACAAGCTTAGCATAAAAACAACCCAACATTTACTTGGCAGTTTAACATAAACTTAAAATTAGCTCAAAAACTTCTGGGTATTAGCATTAAAAGCTAAACATTGGTATAGAAAACTTAAGATTAGCTTGAGCATCTGCTTATATGTTAGCAACTTTTTGTACACTAACAGCTGTATATATGCTAACAACTGTTTAAATACTCACAGCAGCTTTATGTTAATAGTTGTTTGTATGATAACATCTGTTGAATGCTAACAGTTGTTCATATGGTAGAAGCTGCCTTTGTGCTAACAGCTGTGTATGCTAACAGCTTTTCTAACAATTGCTTATATGCCAAAAGTTGTTTATATGCTAACAACTGTTTGAATGCCAACAGCCATTTTATGCTAACAGTTGTTTTATGCTTATAGTTGTTTATATGCTAATACCTGTTTCTATGCTAACAGTTGCTTACATGCTTATAGTTGTTTATATGCTAATACCTGTTTATATGCTAACAGTTGCTTATATGCTTATAGTTGTTTATATGCTAATAGCTGTTGATATGTGAGCAACTGTTTAAATGCTAACACTTGTTTTATGCTAATAGTTATTTTTTTGCTGATTGATGTTAAATGCTAATTGCTATTTATATGCTAACACTGAAGTACAAACAAACACCATGGGGTTCATGATGTTTGCTGTTGATTAGAGTGGGCGGGGCCTACCTTCAGCCACGCCTCCATCTTTTAGTGAGCTGCTGCTGGTTCCAAAAGTGAAGTCTGGACCAGGAACAGTCAGACCTCTGGACCGGCTCTGACCCAGAGGAGCCTGGAGACAGGAGGTATGGTACCATCTTCATCTTCATCATCGCTATCGTCATCATCTATTAGCTTACTTTGTTTTATGGGTGTGCTGTGGTTGTTTTATGACTGTTTTGTGGTTGTTTGAAAGTTGTGTTCTGGTTGTTTAATGGTTGTTTTATAGTTGTTTAACGGTTGTGTTGTGGTAGTTGTGTGCTTGTTGTTGCCGGTTGTGTTGCTGTGCTGGTACCTTGATGTGCAGCGGGTTGCTCAGCATTGATTTTCTGCAGACGCCGAGTCGAGGCGACGACATGACGACGATGAAGCAGCTTCTGTTCACGTCGACCAGATCGATCACCTTCAGAGGAAGAACAGCTGAAGCCACTGACAGGAACCAGAGCCGGCCCAGTATTTTACACTGATCAATAAACCCACCGATCGCTGCTGTAAAACACATTCGTGTTAAACATAAGATTCGCATATTAACTTTCTGTTTGATGGAAACTTTAATAAAATCCTCGATGAAGCAGAAAAACTAAAAGAAAAACATCCAAAACTCACTGAGAATGTAACAAAGTACACAGTACTTCTACTGTGGTACTGCTACTTTTACAGGTACACGGTACTTC